GAAACATGGATATAAGAGAGAGCCAGGTTGACAATGCAGAAAATGGATTGCAAATCTCGCGCAGAGAAGGCTCAGTCAGGTTGACGAGTTCCAGCAGAAAGGCGGAGTCACATTCGCACAAGCGACCGCACTTACACTTCTACAAGCGTGTGGTTGAGAGTGACTTAAGTTTTGAGATTTTACGAACCAGAAGGCTGGCCAAAAAAGATTCTGTCTCAGCATCTTGTTTGGAAAAAGTTTACAGCGACTTTGGCTTTATCGAGGGGCTGTAAAGTGTCTGCAGGCAGTGACAAATTTAACAGCAAAAACCATGGAGCAACTGGTTAAAATCGTCTTGATGGAGTGGCCTGCAGTTCTGATGGTTTGGCGGGTTTTGTGAACAAACGCCTCGAAAACACGTAGAAAAGTGCTTTTGCACAAAGGGCTTCCACAGTTGCGCAAAGTGCAAGAACCAGTGCGTACAGCGAGCTGGAACCACCCTTTTTCGGCTGCGGAAGGGTATTTTTTTTTCAATTGAACGCCGTATGCTTCCGCCGACTCCAAATGTTTTCTCCACACGTTAGCTCCATTGAAACGGCTGCTGCGAGTGGTCTCACTTGTGATTCGCTTTGCGCGATTGACAAAGAGAAAGAGCATTTTTCTTCGCTGACTTCGCTATGTATGGTTGTCATCGCTGCTTATCTTTACAAACATTTCTTGTTTGCACAGCGCTTGCATGCGCTTGCATTTGTTGGACATCCAGCTTGCCGAAGGTTTGCACATGCATGCATGTACGGTTTCAGCAAGTTGTGCCTCGTTTACACCCTTGCGTCTAGTACTTCGCAAAGCAAACCAGCAACAGGTGAGTGCGACCATCCTTTGAGAAAGCGTCAGAGTGTGTGTGCGTGTGTGTGTGTGTGCGTAGCCGTTACAAGGCCGTCCGAGGGGATCGTTTCCATGTTTCCATGTCCACTCCACGAAACCCATCGTGTGGCAGATGCCATCCATTCTACATTCATTTCCGCAGGCCTTTATAGGGGCTTTGCAGAGTCACCTAGGCGCTGGGGTACACATTGACTCCTTCGTACATGGCCCTCTTGCATGTTTTGACATGTTGGTTCTGTTCCGCACAGGTACGGTTTTCAAAGACTCATGATGCGATTTCATTCTTGTCAAGCCCACAGCCGTTGACCAACGGCGCATCAGTCGAGGAGCAAGGCCACAAAGCTGCCCGTCGTACGTTGGCAATTGTGTTTTCACAGTAAATTTGGATGCATTTTGTGATATTAAAAATGTCTTGTGTGGAACGGTCTGAGCCGATCTCGTACGATGAAAGTCGCTCGGCTAAATTGGTTTCGATGCGGTGCAACTTTTGTTGACACTCTGTCAGTACAAAAAAACTCTTGTTCCATGAAGTTCCTCCGGGTCCGTGGAATTCAATGTAGGCATGGGCTGCCTTGGGGCTATATGTAGTGTGTACTTCGGAGCAACAACACATTCGGTTGCTACAACCGTTGACTCGGTGAAGTTTTCGCAACAATCGGGCACTTTTGCTCCATTGATGGCTTTCGCAAAAGTTTCCTGTTCAAGGGAACGTGGAACTCCTCTTGCGTTGCAAGAGGCGCTTACGCCGCTGCTCATATGTGGTGCATTCGTGACATTCCTGCAGTGTTCTTGAGCAGGTAAGCTCCATGACGGCCTTTGTCATACAAGGACTCGCCGTGGTGGTTCATCTCACCATTATGTCCGCCGGGATTCCTGTTTACAGTCATGCGACAGGGGGACCGTTGCTGAGAGAGTTGCGGCGGCCTCATCAGCCTAGGCCTAGTCATTGTGTTGTGCATCTTCCGTCGGTGGGGGTTTACATGTGTTATGACTCAGGCCTGAAACACAAGTCGGCAAGTTAGGCAAGGAGTTGGATGTCGGTTTTCGAAGGCGATGACGCCATGGATCTAGCAAGAGCGGAGGCAGTCTCGTGACCAGCCGGAGCATTGCAAAGTTCCCTGTCCAGGCCGTTTGCACACTGCTGACTGATCGTACAGTCGTGGGCTTTCGCTTGTTTTCTGGACTGCCATGTTGCAGGAAAATTCCTTTGACTCTTCCAGCACGTGCGTGTGCTTGGTTCCTGTCTGAGTTCCGATTACGCTGAACACGATCCGAATGATGACACTTCTTCGTAAGGTGGCCGCATTTGTCGGAGCTGCTCTGCTGGCGAGGTGGTTCCTGGAGAAAGCCAAGCAGAGTTTAAACACTGATGGTGGAGTTTTGCAAGCGTTGGGCGACTTTTGAAGATTCCGGACTGAAGATTGCACTTCGGATTTGCATGGTAGCTAGCTAGCAAAAGTCGAAGTGGCTGGATGAAAGTTTGAAGAAATGCTTGGGATCACAAATCATGGGGATGAGACTCGGACTGGGACCAGGTACCAACCAGACACTCTGAGGAGGCAGGAGTTTCAGCAGAGGATGAGGCTACCCACAATGCTGTTGTAGTTACTGTCGTTGAAGCTTGGGCAAGGACGATGCAGCAATGCACATAGATGCTGATGAGACAATTGCCATTGACATGGGTGTTGACGGGCATGATGCTGATGATGTGAAGGCTGATAAAGGGGGGGTTGTTGGTGTTGCAGCTGCCGATGATGATGATGATGATGGTGATGATGATCATGACGATGATGACGACATGGCTACAGTGATGTTGATGCTGGTATGGATGACGATGGTAATAATGACGAGTAAGATGATACTGGCGACAATGGTGATGGCAAGGAAGTGGATGTTATTGATGATGATGGCGATGATGTTGCCGAAATTGACGTTCATGGTAGTGATGTTGAATTAGCCAGAGTCGCCGAAATTCGCACTACTTAGCAGGATGCGATGACGTAGAGTTATCCTGGTGATACTGAGAACAGTGATCACGACGACATCGACGTTGTGCCCACCTCATTATCTGGACATCAGGCGTTTCTCGCTGTCGCGACCACGTGGTGTCAGAGTGCATGCCTCGGAAAAGCCTTTCTGTCTGGAGTCGGCTATGGTTGGTGTTTGCTTCTCATGCCCTCGTGGTGAGGCGTTCTGGAGTGGAAGCCAGCATCTCTCCAGGCAAGTCAACCCGCAACTCAGTTCTATAGGGCTAGAGTGTACTGCATGACAAGCCCTGGTCAGGTCGGCTACATGTCTTCATGCCCGCAAGAGAAAGAGGCATGCTGCACCTTCCTGGCCGTGCAGAGCAGCAGTCAACACACAGAGCAGTTTGCCAGTCTCGAAAGGCATGCGTTTTGGTATAATGAAGATCTTTCGAAGGCCCCTCGCCTGGCCCTGAGTCCTGCATTGAGGGGTTTGGTTTCCTTGTAGTTGCAAAACAAGCTTCAGGCTGGCTCCCCGGCTGGAAAGGCCGAATTCATATCTAGTGCTGACACGAGCTTCACACGTAAGAGCCGTGAGTGAATCCAAGCCAGCAGATTTCTAGACGCTTCCCGACGCTTGGCGACAGAGCAAGACGCGATGAGTTCGCGCAATGTGTCCTACCTTGCCAGAAGAGAAGCTGAAACAGACGGATGATGATGATGATGAGGAGGAACAGAAAGGCGCGCAGTGTTTGCGAGCTTGGCCGTGTGACGGTGATTTCCTGTGTGCTGCCCGCGCCAGAAGACGCCTTCCCAGAGGGTAGGACGCCAACCGAGTCCCTGCCAAAATTCATGACGTACGAGTTTTGGAAGACCAGACCTCAGCGTCTCAAGAGTCTAGCCGTGGCGAGTTGTTCGAAGCCCACATGTTTCAGGAAGATGCCCGGAGGCTTGCGGTGTCGCAGCTAGAGCCCCAGACTCCTCAGAGTGCAGCCGAGCCTGCAGGAGCTGATAATTGCAGGTCCGCGATATTGGAAGATGTACTTCAACGAAGATGGCACTGCTCCGAAGTACGATAGATTCAGGCCAACTCCGCAAATAACGTTGGCTTTGCTTGGATAGCCCACGGCTTTTGTGCCTGGGACCTTGATCATCAGGTACTATTCCCTGGCAGAGGTGCCGGACCCTGCTGTGAGTGCTAAGACTAAGAACATTGAGTGCTTTGCCGTTTTGCAGGCCATTGACATCATTTTCAGCTTCTACGAATCGGCACCCAACGATGCCCACGATTCATCTCTGGAGTTGCTGCCTTGGCCATCGCAACTTTCACGATGCCCGCAAACAGAGATCAATGAACGTAGGTGGCTGTCAGAATCGTTCCCTGAGCTAGATGCTTATCCAGGTAGTTGTGGCCACATGCCCTTCCCCAGGATTGCCATGTTTATGGCGTTAGATGCCAAGTACCCGGACCAGCAGATCCGGCCATTATCCGAGATTCGTGTTTGCCATGTCGACAGTTTAAGTTACTCGTGGGCTCGTGCTCGGCCAAGGATGAAAGTGAAGCTCCCCAATGGGGCTGGCAAGGAAAAGCGAGTTGCCGTCTTCTGCCCCCCCGCTGAAGAGGAAGAGGCTGCGGCCCATGCGGCCTGACCTCCCCGGCCTCGGCGCTGTCTTGTGCCTGCACAGGCTTTGGAGTCGGGGGCCACCATTGCGGGCAAGGCCTTCGCGGCGACCAGAACTGCGCTTGCGCGGAGCAGCTGCATGGCCAGACCCTCCAAGACGAGCTTGTCGCTGAAGAGTTCAATTTCGACGTGCACATTGCGCAGAGTTTGTCAATTCCATGTCGGGCTATGCGCAGTTTGTCAGACTGCATTGATGGAGGTACTGATCGCAAAACCAGCTATGATGCCGGCGCTGGCAAAGCTGGGAAAAATCCTGGGACCCAGGCTGCCAGTCAGCATCTACGGCCTAGGGACTCAATTGCTCTTTGCATGCGTGTGAGGAAGCTGATGCCTTCGCCGAAGTCTGGAACCCTCGTCAGAAGCACGGTTAGGTGCAGAGACGGTGCACCCGCTTTGCCTCGGTTGGACAAGGTCACAGATATCAAAGCAGGTATTGAAGCCTGGGCTTCCGGAGGCTGGCACGCGCGATTGTACTGAGGCTTCCTGCCCCCGATGAGTGAAAGGTACGGTGGAGTTGAGAAACAATGACAACATGTTCGTCACAGCCTTACAACAAGCTCGCATTTTTCTTGCAGATGACATGCCTCTTCCTCAGATCGGCTGCCCCTTCGCGAAGATTTCACAGGGGAAGGAAAAGTGCCTGCCTAAGCACTCGTGGATGCCGGTAGGGAAGAAGGGTGGCTCCATTGCCTGGTTAAGATGGAACTTCTTCTCGCATCCCTCTCGGAGTTGGGTACCCGTAGTCACGCCAGTGAAGGCGAGACATTTTGACTCGATCAACACGAACATGACTGCGCTTTAAGCGGGCAGCTAGGTGTAATGGGAATCTGCTAGCACATGCAATAGAGCGTGCTTTAAAGACAGAACTGGAGTAGGTTTGACATGCAGCATGACTTGATAAGCTCATGGTCTTTAGTTGTGAACTTTGGCGCTGGGAATGCAGCCAAGGCATCTTCAGAGTTTTCAACTCACTGGTCTAGTGGAGCTCTTTCTGCACCTGAATCGTCTCGGCTCATCGGCCTGCCACTCCCCTGTCTCTCTTTTGCTCCGTTATCTGTGGCTCTCTCTCACTCTTATCTCTCCCCTTGGTGGTTCCTAGGCTTCAGTTGCATCCCGTTGTCCCGTTCAATCCCATGGACGTCGAAGTGTCGTCAGCATGCGTGGGTAGGATTGACTGCATGTGTTTATGCTTCATGCTGCCCTAGCGGCTTCATCATGGCCCACCTTCACACTGCAAAGTCGCATGGACATGCCCGGAAATGTGGGTTCAGGTGCTTGGAGAATTTGCGGGGCCTCCTTCAGCAGCTTGCTGACAACGCCCCACCAGGTGCCAAAAAACGAGAGGCCTGACGAATCTGCAAGTTGTGTTCGTTCAAGACCATCGCGAGGGTAATTTGCAAGTCGATTTTGTATGTCCTTACCTTACCAGGAGTACTTCGCAAGGATGTTCGTGAAAGGCGACGACTCGCCTTCGGTCAGGACTGCTCCCAACTGGGGCTGATGGCCGTTTACATTGTTCGTACCACTCTCCGGGTTCTGACTTCTCTTGCCTTGGGCATCCTGCCGTCTCGAGTGAACCCGAAATGAGAGGATCGATCCCAAAGAGTTCCCAGACCATGGCCTGCACACCTATTGGGATATCAGCTGAATCATACTGTGAGCCAGACATGAGCCCTCATGACCAAGGTTACGAGAAGCCCGTGACCGGAACAACGTACTTCGCACAACAGGCCGCATCTTTTTGCTGTCAGTTCTCTGAGCCCAGTAGCGTCCTGGCCAGGTTCTCGCAGGCTGAGCCTTGAAGGCCGTTGGCAGACTAGGACGCATGAAGTCTACAGGTGCAACCGGATAGTAAATAGCACGTGCAGCAAAATCACCGATTATGTGAGAGTCTCTTTGTCGGTTCACCGAATTTCTCGTAGCCGCGGAGTTGACATGTCGAAAAAGTCGTGCCTGCATTGCGCACGATGATATGTGTAGTCGACCGAGATCAGGACGGTTTTGTCTCAGATGCCAAGGGTTGCCAAGTGTGGGCACGTCGTTTGTCGTACCATCAATTGTTTGGCAGCAGTTTAGCAGAAGTGCAGCTTTCTTGCTCTCTCCGCAAGGGCAAGGTCGTGCGGGCTTGAGTCGGTAGTCCCAGGGACGATTGTTTTACACCCGGATCGCGCAACAGTGAAGCGAAGTGACCCATCTTGCTGACATTCTTGATTTGCTTGCATGAGTGTGACAAAGTTCAATAAGTCCAGGCATGTCTCTCCTCTGCATACGGAAGCGTTCTACACGAGACTCCGGCAGCTCAGCTGCGTCTCTTGGCCATGGACTTGGACCCGATCCTGACCCATGCCGACAGCGGTGATCTGGATGCTATGAAAGCAGTCTTGGCAGATAGCAACAGCGTCAACAAGCGGTTAAAGCTTAGAGATGCAGACAAAAGGACTGCTTCGACACATGAGCTTAGTAGCTGCCATAGCTGAAACTAGACTTTTCCCACTCGAAGTCGGGGTCCGTAGAAGACAGGACCGCATTGCACCGAGCATGCGCTGCGGGGCACGAGGAGATTGTCGCGCATCTCCTCAGCCATCGTGCCAATCCCAATGTGGAAGATGAGGAGGAGAGGAGGTGAAAATCGGACGGGGCAGATCAGGGCAGAGTGTGGGGGAGCCCCCGTCTTTGTGAATCTGTCTCAGGAGTGGACGCCACTACACTCTGCTGCCAGCCGTGGCTCGGTGTCCATGGCCACTCTGCTGACAGAAGCCGGTGCAGATTGCGATGCGACAACGTCTTCGGGAAGCAGCGCCCTGCATTATGCGGCCTCGAAGGGGCACGATGAGGTGATCAGAATTCTAATTCAGGCAGGTGCCAAGGTGAATTCCAAGGACCGGAGTGGTGGCTTTCCGCTTCTGAGAGCGGCAGGCGCCGGTCGGCTCCAAGCTTTGAAGATTTTGCTCGAGGCGCAAGCAGATCTGAGATGCAAAGACAAGTCAGGAGACAACGCGTTCCATGTTGCCATCAACGGCCATCATACAGCGATTTGCGAGATACTCTTTGACCGGGACGAAGCGGAGAAGCTAATGAAGCAAGAGAACGAAGATGGTAAAACAGCAGCACAAATGCTTCTGGACCTTGCACCGGCTGAGACTCGAGACAAGATCAAGTCGATATGGAGAGAGAAGAAAGGTGGTTAGACCTGTTCGTGTCTGCGAAAAGCTGCTTGGAGAAAGGGCCACGGCGGGTAGGCATGCCACTTGCATCTACAGCCACCTGCACCTGCTTGAATGTCGAGCTCGTGTTGTCAGTGGTCACACTGCGTGCTTTCAGGCCGCAGGAATCTGATGTGTAGAAGTGGCTTTGTTTGGGATGGTTTGAAAGCTCATGGTCATGCCATATATTGCAGCAACAGCTTTTCGTGTGCGCCAAGCACTTTGATGGGCTTGGCATTGCTGAGCTTCTGCAGGCTTTCACGGAATTTGTCAATATGTTGTGGCAACAGATATGGACCTAGAAGCGTGTCGCTTGAAGGCTTTGGATCGCCGAGGCTGCGATTGCATCGTCCAGGTGGCGGCTGGTCACGTGGCCGCAGTCGTTCTGCAGTTCTGCAGAGCCGAGAGACAAGAAGATGACAAGAAGCCAGTGAAGAAGCGAAGGTGGGTTTGGATGCCGTGGACTCGTGGGTCTGGCTCTCAGGTCTCGACTGAGTGCTCGTGCTGCCGAGTATCTCCCCGAGGTCGTGCAAGATATTGGATTCTACTCTGACGCGGCATGTGTGACGAGCATCGAGGCTGCCATGGGCTTCTTCTTCTAGGCACGCAAGTGCAATTCCTCTGTTCCCCTCCCGGCTTCAAGCCTCGCTTGAACGTTGTAATCCCCCACCTTTGGTCAGCCTCCAGTCGCCACCGTCTTCATTCGCACCTTCAGAAACCCATCACTTTTCGTGTGTAACATGCTAAACTGCTAAACTCTTCGTGGATACATGTCAGCCCATTGTGGCGCTGAAGAGCATTGGGGTTTCCAATCCTGACCATGGTGCTTACGGACAGCTGTGGCTTGATGTGATGGATGCTTATCGATTCCTTCCATTGTTGGTGCTCGTCGTGACGCCGTCCTGCTTCTATTTCCAAGGTGAGGCTAGAGTCCGTTCTGCTTTTTCTCGTCTTGTATGTGCACCGTTGCACCAGAAGCACAAGCCGAGAGTCAATGAGTGTGTCTGGGGGGTCAGTAATGCAGCAGCTCACCTGTGCAAACAAACTGAGAATCCTGGAGACCTCTGGAAGGTAGGGTAGGCGGGTAGGCAGAACTGTGCTCGGAAGTTTCTTGCACACGGATGTTGCCGAGAGGCGAGACCTTTCCGAACTCTTCAAGGCAGGGTGTGAGCTGACATGAGATGAAGCTTCATCAATGATAAGGCATAGGCTGCACCGGAAACTTGGCACAGGCAACGGCTTGCGATACGATGGCAGCGCTTTCTCTTCGTGCAGAGCCAAGGATTAACGGGTTTGAAAAATTGAAACTGGGCAGATGAATGATGAGACTGATTGATGTAGGGGAGCGCTTGACGGAGACAACCAACTGTTGGCCTGCGGAGGCCGCAGTTCGTCCGACCGCCTGCCCTGCCTGCTGATGCTTTTGAGGCAGATGTTCTTGAAAGCCGTGCGGTCAAAACCGATCTTGCATGTTCAGCTCTTGCACTAGTTGCCTAGTACTGCCCGGCGCAGGTAAGCAGTGGACCTTGGGAAACTGGTGTGCCGTGCCCATCCTCAGGCATGGCAAGCATATGCGAGTTGCGCGCTCGTAATATATCCTGACCGACTCGCGTGCACGTACACCTTGGTTGCTTGTTACGCTTCATGCCAACTTTGCTAGCAAGGTCCCAGCAAAAGGCTTAGGGTAGTTGTGCCTGTGTTGCCTCTTAGTTGTGCAGTCAATCTTACGGTGTCTAGAGCTCTGCTTCGATCTCATCGCAACACATTGCCTTTGCAGTTGCTCTGCTTGCTTTGCTATACGATTGGGAGCGCCCTTCTTTGTGACCGAGAGTTAAGTGGATTCCTGTGTTTGTCACAGGTTATCATCCGTAGGACCTCTAGCTCCCGATTGTGTATCTCTGCTTGCCTTGCACTCGGGTCGTCTATCCGACAAGTTTCTGAAACACAACCGTTATCCTGGCGCCACTTGCCCCGTTCGGATCTGTGCTAAGTACGCCACAGAGAGACGAGCACCATTCGCAGCCTCCTGCCTTTGCTGCCGATCGTGCATTGCCTGCTCTGCCGTGCTTTCGTGCGAGTGCTGCTTCTGCTGGTACTGCCTCGCGATTCGCACCCTCAACGACCGATATCTACCACTCTGGCCCTCTGTCCCTTCGCGGGATCCTGAGGGCGCTCGGGCCATCTTTGCGTCTGGGCGGGGTGACCGGAGCCATCCCATTGGGGTCCCGGCATGCTTTCGCCTGTTGGTTGTTCTGTGCGGGCAGTCGTCGGCTCAGGACGGGTTTGTACCCTCCTATGGGGCCAGCGGCGCCCCAGCCCACGAGGGCGGCTCTGGTAACGATTTCGGCTGCGGGCTTCTGAGTCACGATCCCTCGATTCGATACACACTCGGCCCTGATGCCGCCCATTCAGGCGATTGCGCAGGGCGTGCTCAGGACCCGTGCCCATCTCGATGTTTTGAGGGACGGGGTATCCGACCTCACCGAAAGCCTCGACAACAGAATTGAGGAACTCCATAGACGATTTAATATGCTGGTCGATAGGGTGTTCGATGAGAATCGCCAACTATGAGCTCGCGGATCGGCGCATCGACGATCATGAAACACTCCATGAGAGATTTGAACAGTTGAAGAGCAGTCTTACTGATCGTGTTCGAGCTGGATGAAAGACTCTTCACCCTCCACGAAAATCGCACCGATTCGATTATGCGTGAAGCTTCTCGTACTATCAGCCAGATTCAACGATATCCTGACAGTCTCCAACACTTTGTTGTACTCGGCATGTCTAACTGGGAAGCACGGATAGGTGCTGTTGACCTGAATGCAGCGACCTCTCGCATCGAAGCGATGCGAATCGAGATGAGTCGATCCCTCACGATCCAAAAGAAGAGGACTGTCTCGTTGACGATCTCGCTACGACAGTCGCTCATTTGGAAGCCTGCTTCCCGCATCGCCGTGACACCACCGAGCGTGCGATTGATGAGATTCGCCGTGAGGTCAGATCTCACCGGTCAGAGCGATCAACTCCCCCTCGTGCCGACGAGGTCCAATCCTTCGATGTCAGTGATCATGATCGAGACGTTCCGAGGCTTGAGTGCGCCCAAGGATTATTTCTGCTGGAGGCGCATCATCCATTCCTCGATCTTCGCTCCTTGGACCCGTTGAGCATGGGTGTCCTCCGAGCTGCCATGCTGCCCCCGTTGAGAAGGCGTCGACTGCTCAGTCTCAGACGAGTAGTCTCACAGCTGATGATGTCTGCCGGAGAGCTCGACTGCTCATCGATGATCGTTCGAAGGGAGAGCGCGCTGATCCTGACCGACTCCCTGAGCCGAACTTGGTCAGGGTACACTAGTTCAGGACGAGCTTTCGAACCGAACATTTCAAGTGTCCATGCTCCAGCTACAACATCCGTCGACAGATCGACGTTTGGGCAAACTGCATGTGCATCGAGTGCCCAAGCCGCGGTTCCAGTAAGCATTCCTCCTTTCATCCGGGCTTGAACCTCAGCCGCCTGCGCCTTCCGCCTTCGGCATTTCAGCACCACTCACATGCGAAGAATAGTGAGAATAACGTTGGGAAGCTTCAACAGTTGGACCATCCGGGTTGGTCTCACCCACTGCAGCAGGCAAACTTGCATACGATGCAATTGCGCCGATGATGCAGCGGAAAGCTGTTCAAACATCGCTCGCATTGGAACGTGTCAGGTCTGCCACTGGGCCGAAGCGTAGGTGGGGCGGTCCGCCGTCATTCAGGCGGTCCAAGGCTCGCACCAGTTCCGCCACTCGGAAATCCTCCACCGCATGCTCTGCTACCATCATGGCCACATCGCATCACGCCATCGAGATGGCTGACTCCGGTGGAACAGTTCGCGCATCGTACGCAATCTGACATGTGAATGTCGGAGTTGGACGAGGCTCAGGAGCGAACAGCCTTCGTACATAGCTCCCCGATCGCGCTGTGCAATCGGGCCGCTTCCGCGCTCAGGTATGCATGCCTCAGGCGCTAGTCGGCGCTAATCCTGATATGAACCCGGAAGATGTGCGCAAGATGGTGGAGTCAATGTCTGGGTTCATCGACCCACAGTCGAGCAGCGATAACGTTCGGCCAGCCACCTTCTATCTGCCTGACGACTTGGCGTACGATCAGGTACAAGACCGATTGACTCGAGGAAGACGCCGGATAGAGGCCAACAGCCAGCTCATTCGTGAGATGCAGTCTGGCAATTTGACCGCTGGCCTCATGGAACGAGCGACCGGCAACGCCCTGGGTCCCTGGCCCTGGGTGCTCGATTTGCTAACAGGGGGAGATTGAAGCCAAGATTGGTGACATCATTTCCAGTTTAGACGCTGCCATTGCAGCATTCCGATTATTCACCCCCATTTCCCGGCTGCATACGGCACGGCCCGATCTCTGCTGTCTTTCTATCAATCCATGCAGATTACCGTGCGCCACCTGGCGTCGCCGGCGAGGAAGAGTGGCTCGATGTGTTAGCCCAAACGCCGAGAGCCGTGACGCAGGCTGTGCGGCTGGCTTTGGCATTGGTGTCCAACAGCACGATGAGTGCTGGTGTCAGGGACGACCAGCTGCTGCCTGAGGAGTTTCAATGCGATCGAAGTCTTCCGGTATTGAGACAGCCTGGAGCCCATCCTTTCGTCGATTACCTGCGTCCAGTCGCGGATGTGTCATTTCCCGCGATTGAGAGGAGTGGTGATTCTCGGATGGCTGCTATGACATGGAAAGAGCGATGAATGTGTACTTCCGCTCGTTACATAGGCATTTCATCGAAGTGTTGAACCGAAACACGTTTCTGCGTGAACATGGCTACGATCCCACCAACCCTGAACATGTCGGGGTGGCACGCAGGGCCTGGAGAAACGATCCCCTCTGTGTCTGTCTGTCTGTCTGTCTGCCTGCCTGTCCGTCTGTCTCTGTCTCTGTGTCTGTGTCTGTGTCTGTCTCTGTCTCTGTCTCTGTCTCTGTCTCTGT